TCAGTTAACTACTAACCTCATTGGCACCCCTCTTAGACATCTTGCCAATACATTGATTAGACTTAATATATACTTGCTTCAGTTATCTATATTTCAATCGTGATATACACAGTATTTTATTGCTTAGTTTTAGCAAATTAAATATGATTTTCTATACCGAATGAGATGTAATAATTATTCCATTAAGATGAAATTATATCAATACGTTTAAATACGGTTTAGACTGTCAACAAATAAATGTAAAGATCAGGAATAAGTCCCTCGTACCTTGAGAACTCGCGTACGGCAAACAAAATCGGAAGTGATCATAATATAAATTCACTGATCATGAAATGAAGATATTGTTAACAGAATCCGGGACACGACTGTGAACTATAATAACTTTTGTGTTCTCGAAGACAGGTGAAAAACGAGCAAGTCAGAAGCTATGGAAGAAATACAGTTCTGATAGAAGTAATCAAAAAACTTTAGTATAGAAAGATTTTTTTTTTCATTTCCTTGATGTAAGTTTAGTTTACTTCCATCAAAACTCAGGTAATTCAAATTAAGTCCGATAACTTAATGGCTGAGTGGGAGATGGTGCCAATCGGATTAGTAGTTAACTGACAATATATTGTCTTGTAAAATTCATTAATAATGCATGAGGTAATTACCCAGTGAAAGACCTGGATTCAGGTCACGTGGATGGTTTGTAATTCTCGATACAGGACGTGTGAAACTTAAAGCACGGGGAGGGTTGAATAGTCAGCAGGGAAAAGCTGGGGTTGATGAATTGTAAATAGTATGCTTATTAATATGATTAACTTTTATAAAAAGATCTCTAACCCACCTAATTAGTATTTTTAACTTTTATAAAGATCTCTAACCCGCCTAATTAGTATGCTTAACTTTTATAAATAGTCGTGTTCTTTGGAATTCTACAAGGTTTATTAATCAATAAGTTTGTACATGAATACATGCTAATATTATAGATATTACTTATTCGCGTACCCAAAGTTGATATTGCAGTTGTTAAATACTGAACTTGCACAAAAATTATTAATATTACTGCTCAACGAATCCTCTGAAATAAATATTTTTCCACCTAAATATAAAATGCGATTTAAGGCAATTCATTTAAAACACCCAATAAATTTACTTGCCTCTTGTCAGCTTTATTGAGAACGTTCAATGCATTCTCTCCTCTCGTCTCACTTAAATGTCGGTTAATCGCACA